CTGTATAATTCCCATCAGCTGTACAGCGTTTTGGTTAGTACATTTAATTGAATTTTCCAGAATATCTGTTTTACAGGAGAGAAGGTCCTCCCTTTCATCAATACATCAGAAGATGCTTCAGTCACCATGTTTTCCTTAAGTAATACAATAATAAGGATATACAATGAGCTGTTTAAAAAAAATATTTTTTTAGTAAGATCAAAGGACTGCAGATCTTGACTACCCTAAGTTTATTCACTTTAGGATTTAAAGCAATGTACTGCGGGGATGGGGCAAGAAGTGTACAGCAGGTGGATATGCAAAGGAGAAGCTTGTCCTGGAAAGCTCTACATGAAATTTCTCCAAATTCCCTTTGGCACACTTTAGCAGGCAGGGAGAGCACCAAAGAGTCTGTGGTCCATGGCTAGGGTGCTAGGCGGGCAGTAAGGAGATTAGAGCTATGCCCGTGACGACAGTGGAAGTAGGAACTGTCTCCTCTTGACAGACAGTGGGTGTGTCTACACATGCCTATGAATGTGCAGCAATAATCTCCCAAGTTTATTGCTGCCAGGCATTCATCTGCATGTGCAACTGGACTGCAGCACATTGAGTCAGGTTAGAGCAGGCCCGGCTGGCAGCCCAAAATAGTAACAGGAGCGCAAAAGTAAAGCTGTACTGATACACATCACAGAGAAAGATGCTTCTTGTTCTGCTCTGTAGGGGAAGCATCTTTCTCCTTGATGTGTATCAGTACAGCTTTGCTTTTGTGTTCCTGTTGGTACTTTGGGCTTCTGTAGAGATGGCCAGTGTAGCCTGGTTTATGATAAATCCCGCCATCATCAAGGGATAACAGATTATTAGAACCAGTAATATAAGATTAAAGTAGTGATTTGAAAATATCAACAGCTTCTGTTCGAAATTGAACTCCAGGGTCAGATGATACAAGCATTGATGCATTAGAAAATAGAGTAGTATTCCAAGTATGATTCTTCTAATAAAAAAAAAAAGCACAAATATGTCAGTGTTTTCTGAAAACTTCTGACATTTGTGATAACAGAAAGCTGTGTGATTTTGTGGCAACTCAGGTAACTGGAACAGGAGACTGTAATGTAATATAATATGTTTGAAAGAAATGTTGATTGATTATGATCAATAATACTTTGTGTATACAATCAATAATAATATAGAGGTTTTCATTCATGAATCCAAAACACTTTATAAAATGCTTGATATAATTAATTCCTATTCTATAGAGGCACATGAGATGCATAAAGGCCAAGTGACTTGCCTCAGGCCACCCAGAAGATATAAGTACTAACACAGATGGATTGGTTGCTTTGTGTTTTCTGTTTCAGATTTTATTTTTGTCTGAATCAATGCTTTAAGGTGGTAGAGCAAGTGGAAGATTGTTGCACTGGCAGCAGGAGTGAGGCATGTTTGCTTGGGCAGCTGGATGAATGAAAGAAAGATTACCAGAGTGCAGTGGTTTTGGTTTGGGTGGTTTCTGAGCAGCAAAAGTATAAGTTAAGAAAACCTGGTGTGATGCCCTTTGTTGGTGCTGTGAGTATTCTCCCACTCCTTGGACCAGGCCCCCAACTCACCCACCATGTCTTGATGGATCCGTTATTGAAAGGAGGGGTTCAGTAGTGTTTCTACCCTGCTCGGGGATGGTAATACTCATAGGGTTGATGTGGGTGGTCCTGGGGCTCCGCCTCCCCTACTCCCTAGCCCACTCACCAGCCATCAGGGCCGTGGCATCGCCATTCCAGTTCTTGGTTCTGTGCTTTTATGGCCTCTCGGTGGGCCACTGCTCCATCGATTTCCATGTGTGCTGCAGGTTTACAGGGGCTGCCCGCCACTCACCCCTAATCCTTGGCTCGGCTTTGGCCTTGTGCCAGACCTGGGTCTGCCAGGCCCTGTGCAGGCTCAAAGATGGCCATGCCCTTCCACGTCCACTGGGCAGTGCCCAACCCCCACTGGCATTGGGGAGTCCTGCATGGCCCCCTTACGACATCTCCGCTCACTCCAGGTGGGACTGTTGCAGGGGAGGGGAGAAATCCATTCTACCAGGTTGCCCTGCCTCCTAGCTTCCCCGCCCCCCACACCCAGCTTCTGCCAGGATTTTTAAACCTCCCATGGCAGCGGTTGCAGCTGATGTCATCAGCCAGATGCTGCCCAGTTTGATTGATAGCTTCCTGAAAAGCTAGTGCAGCGCTGGCTCATGCAGCTTCAGCCCTGTCTCTGTCTCCCTCCCAGGTAAGATCCCTGTGGTGCTGGGGTTCTTGGGTCCCCCTTCATGAGTGTCGGGTCCAGCATTTTTGGTCCTGGAGAGTGACCCCAGCCATCATACCTGGAAATAAACAGAAACTTCACTGTTGTGCTTGCATGTCGATGATCTGTTTTTCCATACCTTGCTTGTCTATATTTTAACCTCCTTGAACTTGGCCTTGTCTCTTTTATGTGCATGTTTTCAACCTTAGATAATAGTACTCCAATGCTGACTGTGGCTTTTGGGCACGAGGGCTATGGACAGATATTCAAAAAGCCTGAGCCTGAATTGATTCCATTTTTGCAGGTTAGTTTAAACTGCCTATGTTGAACCAGTTTTCATCCACACAGACATTCCCTTTGGACTGAAGAAATGCAGGCACATGCCTGCAGTGGCTTAGGCTAGAAGCCGGGGGGCACCAGAACAGCCCTCCCTGCCCTTCTGCAGGGCTGAGCTCTGGGGGGGCGTGCTGCCTGTAATGTCCCAGGCTTTTCCCAGCTTGCTGCTCAAGTGGTGGGAGTGTTGCCAGACCCTAGCCCCAGGCTAGTACTCAGAGGCAAAGAGCGGGGGTGTGCAGTGCATGCATCTGTTGGTGATACTGAGTATTTCAATCTCCTTTTCCCTGCTTCTTCATACTATCTGAAAACCTGACAGGGTTGCAAACCAGCAAGGGGCTGATAAAACCACAGTGTTTATCAGCCTATCAACAAAACAAAAGCCTCTCTCATTTGTTCAAACTCTTCTTAAATAGCTTTTTCCAAGAAAGGAATGGAGGGACATTACCATCTGACCTGTCCATTAGTTCCAAAAAGCCCTAAGCGGAATCTGTTCTGTTTGCCTTTGTCCTGTCCCAGTGAAACTGGGAACACACACAGACACCTCCCCCCCCAGCATACCACATGCCTAGGGTTCATGGGGCTGGGGTCTGTGCTGTGGGAGGGGGGAACCCCTGCTTGAACAGCCAGCAGGGAGGGAAGCCAGGCAGGTGCTGCTGTGCCTGTTGTCTCCCCTGGAGCTCTGGGTAGGGAAGAGAGGAGCGGGGCCAGCCTGTTCTCTGGAGCAGACATCCCAGCCCCACCCTGCCCCGTCCAGGTAAACCAAAGCATCTGACTTAACTTTAACCAGGAAGGAGCCTGGGACAGACATTGCATAAACTGGTTTGACTCAAATTAGTTAAGTCTGATACTGCATTCAACCAGACTTATTTTAAACAACTTTCAGCCATTTTGACACTAGCTTATGTGCACTGAACTTATGTTCTGTTACAGGTTTAAACCAGTTTCTGATCACTAAACCAATTTATATGTAATGTCTGTGCCTAGCCTAGTGGATTGTAAACTTCAGTCATGATTATTAGCTTGATAAATGCCCCTTTATTTGAAGCAGATGCTAATGTAGAAAATTCAGTGAAAGATGCAATTTATCATAATTAGTGATTTTCTTGTCTAAAAGTACACAGTTTGGCATGGTTGTTTTATATATATAATTTTTATAAATATATAATTTTACTAACTTCCTCAAAGTATACAGAACCTGATTTTTATCTCAGTTACACAAGTGTAAATCCTGGTAACATGCCTCTGTGCTACATCTGGGGAACATTCTTAAGCATTTAAACAGAACTGAGAGTTGATGCTCTTTGGTATTTTACCTTTACATGTATACTGCCAGAAAAAGTTCCAGTTATAATGGACTAAAACTTTATTCATGGAGGCCAGTGAAGAATTACTTTTATGCTGGTGACTTTTGGCCCAAAACAGTCCAAGCAACATCTCACCCCCTAATTAAAATGAAAGGTTCAACCATAGACTATAAATAGTTGCAGAAACTATCCAACCTTTCCTAAGAATCTCCTGTCTCTTCTGTCTTTCCTGATTATTTTTTTCTTTATGCAAGTACAATTCAAGTGTCTTGCGAATCCCACATAGGCTTGTAATAAATTAATTCTAACAGGATGTTTACGTTCAGTTCCACTGAATAGCTCTTTATTCTTGCATTATTTGATAGTATAAATCGAAACACTGGACTTACCTTCTCTGTATGATTTATTATTTGGTATACTTCTGTCATGTCCTCTTATTTGCCTCTTCTCCAGCTTGCCCTCTTCTGACTCAGTAATTGTTTCTTTGAATAGAACTGAAGCTGTTTTATTGGCTCGCTAAGTTATATTTAAATGACTTTCTTTTTCCCCTTCTAATTTCTTTTAATGCTCATTATAATTTATATTTAGTTAATAGAGAAATAGCTTCACTGGAATTTGTATTTCAGGCCAGGTATATTTTAGAAGCAAAATCTAGTAGCATTAAATATGTCCACCTTGAGAAGCAGGTTATATTGTGGTGTTTTTTTTCTCATTTTGATGTGATGCATTTAGATCCAGCATCTCAGTTTTGGGTTTCATTGTAACAGAATATTACAGTTTAGCTCAAGGAGGTAGGGCTCTTATCTGAGTTAGGGGCCTGTCATTTGCTGTGACCTGTCATTTGCTATGACTCAGGGGAATAAAAGGCTGAAGGTTTATTTGAGCCAAAGGGAAGAACTACACTTTGTGCAGGTAGAAACACTTAAAATAGCCAACTTAGGAGGTTGCCTAAAGTTTCAGTTTATTACTTAAGTTAAGGAACACAGAAAGCTCTGGAAGGGAAGTAAGTATTAACTAATCGCCACCATATGTCTGCTGCATGAAGGGGGAGATTTATATACACTTATTAATTCACCTTTACTTTTGAAACTCCATTTTTATTTTTTGCAGGTGATGGAAATCAAAGGCCAAATGATCCACGTGCCTGAATCAAATTCCATTTTGTTTTTGGGTTCCCCTTGTGTGGACAAGCTAGATGAACTGATGGGCCGAGGCCTCCATCTTTCAGACATACCTATCCACGATGCTACCCGTGATGTCATACTGGTTGGGGAGCAGGCAAAGGCCCAAGATGGCTTGAAAAAACGAATGGATAAATTGAAGGCCACATTAGAATGTACACACCAAGCTCTGGAAGAGGAAAAAAAGAGGACAGTAGATCTTCTGATTTCCATTTTCCCAGAAAATGTGGCTCAACAATTATGGCAGGGGCAGCAAGTTCAGGCCAGGAAGTTTGATGATGTCACCATGCTCTTTTCAGACATTGTTGGCTTTACAGCTATCTGTGCCCAGTGCACACCCATGCAGGTGATCAGCATGCTGAATGAGCTCTATACTCGATTCGACCATCAGTGTGGATTCCTCGATATCTACAAGGTAATGCTTTGATTCATAAATTATACAGGCCATTTCTTTAGAGAAAAAGATGTCCCTGGTAAATAATGTCCTAAATTGCACACACCTTTTCAGTAGAATTGGTCAGAAAATTTCTGTTGGAAAAAAATGAGGTTTGAGGTGAAAATAAAAATCCAAATGATATCTGTTTGAAACCAAAATACTTTGATTCAGAACTGCTGACCTGGTGCTTGGTGGGAGCTGTAGTTTGTATATAACTCATGGTCACATTTTCCTTTGTGGGCTAGGCACAGTCTAGGAATACATATCTTGTAATGCGACACTCTCTAGTGCACTGATGAAAGACAGTGGCATATCATGGCAGTTGTGTAGCAGGGCATTGTGGGTAATGAAGTCTAGGTGGAGAACCCACCCACAGAAGAAGAGAGCTTGGAGCACCTGAAATGCAACTCCCTTCAGGCATTTCTGTGATCTTACAGTATCAAAATACTTTTCCTTATGTTTTATTGCTTTCTAAAGAAGCGTAGAGCTTCACTTGATTTATATCAGCATAGCTTCATTGCAACCAATGGAAACAAGCCAATTTACACTCAAAGTGATTCTGGACAATATTTGTCTAAAGTACAGGTTAAAATCTCTCAAATATTTTTATTTTTAATTAAATTTGTTAATAAGTTCTAACTTGTTGGTATTTGTATCTGAGTTCTTTCAAATCTGAAGCGTGTGTATTCTAATCTGTGGCTACCAAACTCCACCTGTAGTTTTTCTGCCCAGATATGTTTAAAATGAAAGAGACATTTTGCTGGTTCTGATTCAGGTGTGACAAACTGCTGGAAAGCTCATGACAGCAGCTAGTCTTGGGAGGTTGCCTTCACTCAGGGATTCATAAATCTATGGCTTGTCAGTCAAATATGATGCCCATCACTAGACCCAACATTTAATGAGAGCAGTCTATGAGATATCAGTATCTTTGAACTTGAACCACAGTCCTGAGTAGGCCTTGAACTATGACTTAAATCAAGGTGGCCCACAAGTGGCATGAGCAGATTCTCTGTGTGGTATATGGAAGATTGGGAAGGAGACAGGCAGCACTGCAGCAGATAGGGTAGAGAGTAGAAAGCTGAGCAGCAGTTTCGGAAAGGAGGACTGGACACAGAGTAAAAACAAAGCAGAGCAGCAGATCAGGCAGGATCGGAGTGGCACTCAGGGAGGGTGCACAGTTAATTTATGGTATATTTGGCAGAAAGGTTGGCCTCCACTGACATAAATCTAATCCCTGTCAGGAATGAGATCTGTGCACTGACTTTCAATCCATTTTATTTGTCAGGAAACTATGCTATAATGCAAGATGAAACAAAGTAAAAGATAGCAAGGAGAGCATCCTACTATTTTGGCATAGGAGATGCTAGATGTATGGGTTACGAAAAGCGATTTCCCACAAAGTTTTCATTCAGCCACTTATAGTGTAGGATTCAGAAAACAAAAACTACTCCAAAACAAAACAAACTTTTCAGAACAGGAGTAGAGGCACCAAATAACAGTCATGATACTTCTATTTTTGGAACAAAGACCACATCAGTTAGAAATCATAGAGCGTTTCCCAGTTTGTATGTAAAACTATCTATTAAAGACTCCTAGTCCACTCTGTATCAGTGTATTAGCTGGGCACAATCTAGTCCAGTGTTCATAGGCTCCAGGCACACATTACATCTGTGATGTCATAAATGTGTCAATCATGCTATAAATAGTAACAGTGCCCCACTTTTAGCTGATTTACGGCTCGATAAAGTGGCAAGCCAGCCACAAAGATATTCCACAGCGTATGTCTCTGCCCCAATGCTGAAAATAGGCTGCTGGGGGACTGGGTTGCAAGTTTCCCCACGTGGGGAGCTGAGGGACTCCCTCTCATTGGGAACCTTACAACCCCTGTGCCATGTTTTGCAGCCTTTAAAATACTGGTTTGGTGGGAGCCCTGTGGCTCCCTGCAACCAAGCCCATTAAATGTCTTGCTCTTCAGCTCCTGAGAGATGTGCAGAGCAAGGCACTTTAAAATGCCAGCTCCCTGCAACCCAGCATTTTAAAGTGCATTGCTTTATAGCTCATGTGGAGTTGCACTCATTTCTGCCAAAGATGTATTTGGCCTACTACTTTAGGTAAATTTGTTTTTATATTTCCATTCCAAATAGGAAAACATGATCTCTGATGAATAACATTCATCTGTGAAACTACCCTGTAGAATCCATGGAGAAAATATTTTGCTTGTGGTATATGATTATTTTTATAAATTATATTTCATATGGAGGTTATGGCAACATTCTTTATAAAATAATGAATTGGTACCAATAGTGCTCTGCTAATCAAAGAAATTACAGTCATTGAAGAATTTTATGATGAGCTCTCTTTTCTATCTGATACATAAATTATATCAGCAGTTTTCAAATTGTGGTCCATGGTCTGCAGAGCATTTGCTGGTGATGTGCAGAGGGCTGACTTGTCACATGGCAATTTTTATCCTTTTATTTTTCATCTGTTATATCCCATGAAAAGTTATTTAAAATATTAATTCCATTCCTAAAGTTAAGCAATTGCTGTGGTTGCCCAGTGGTGATATAGCTATTATAGAGGGAGCAGTCCCATGCGGGAGAAGAGATGTTTTGGGAGGCCATCTGTTAAGTTGTATGCAACATTATGAAAAAGCTTAGGAATGCTTGATATAATAGAGTTAAATTTGATCACCTGAAAGTAACATCTTGGCAATAGCGGTCATGCAGGCTTGGACATGAGAGACCTGGTTCAGTAAAACAACTAAGCATATGCTTACAGAGGGCTAACAGGAGAGTTATTATCCACTCCCACCGTTTAAAAAGTGGCACTGGATTACTGAGGCAGCAACAACTGGAAATAACCTTTTTTTTTTTATATCATAGACTAGTAACCTATCTGGTTGCTGCACTACAGGTTGGGAATGGACTAGATGGCCCAGGAAATCGTTCCTGGTCCTTTGTTCCTATGAACCCAAATTCAGGTGTGAAACGTGGAATCTATGAGCTTCTGACCCATTGTCAAAAGCAATATCATATGACCCTGGGTGACATACCATATGTGCCATGTATATGTATTTTGTATTCTCCGGGATTATGAATTTTAGTTTCTTACTTTGAGATATTCTTTGCTGAAGTCTATGGTTTTATGAGATGAGCAAATCCAAGATATCAAACAGTCTGGTCTGGCATTAATTTTGAAGGTTGGCTGGCTGAGCCCTGCAAGAAAAATAAAAAGGAACAATCATATTATTATGGCTTTGACCGCTAAGGAAGCTCAGAATCATGAATATTACATAAGTTACATGATGATTTAGTGCTGTATGCCTAACCTTGAGCTACTTTACATAGTGAAATATTATTAAATAGTAGTTAAAAGTAAGCATTATTCTCTCTAATGAAGTAACATAATAAATTGAGATGGACCAGATAAAATTTTTACATGCAGAAAAAAATAAGTACTAAAAATAAAATCAAAAGTCTGTTAAATATTTATTTAAAATTTTAAATAAACATCCACTATTACTGTCTTTACATTCCCAACAGATATTCTAGAGCGTGGGTTTACTGACAAGAAAGTTTGCCATAACATAAATTATTAATTTTTTACAGTTTAGCAGTTGTTTTACAGAAAGTAAATTTCAGATTTGTACTTACCAGGATATGTGCCAAAAGCCAGATTCTAAATATTATGCTCATCTAGCCCAGGGTATGCCATATGATGGTTATGTATAATCAAACTAGAACAATTTTAAAATTTGCTTGTGTAGAAACATAGATCAAGAATAATTTTCAAAAAATATTTTGGCAAGTACTTCTGAATAGCACATTTAAGGAAAACTGATATTTGTTTGTAAACAGAAAATGAGGCAAATTCATCAGATGGATTACTGTTATGAATTATTCACTCAGCTTTACTTTTAAAGTATTTTGGATTAAGAGTTGCACTGGAAGATGGTATTTCTGAACTTGGACTAAAGAAGAGAAAATAACTGAATAATAGTTTTAGCTTTCATTTTTCAAGCATTCAATCCAAATATCAAAAAGTGCTTTGCAATAATTAATGACTTTTTCACAACAGTTGGCCGTTATGGCAAAGTAGTTAAGGAAGTTGAGTCTTTGCTTTGAACTCTTTGGTGTGACTGGCATTTGCTTTAGTCTCATGGCAAAAGTTGCTCTGGGTTTTTACCTAGCTATAAATGGTACCTAGTCATTTAGACTCAGTAGTGAAAGGTGGGCTGTCCATATCACTTTTGTGTGATGTTGGCCATAGATACAGTACTGGCATGTCTTGATTGTGCTAGACCACAACACAGTGGGGGATCTTCACAGCACCCCAGCAAAGTAAATATTTTTCAGTTGTGCCCATTTAACAGAGAAATGTGCAGCAATAAAGGGCTTCAAAGTTTACATGCATGAGGTCACGATGGAGTTCATGGAGAAATTTGGATCTTGGGCACTTAAGCAATTTGGTGAGGTTTTTGTTGATTGATCACTTGGATTGAGTTACCTGAATTCTCCTTAAGTCGCACTTTAGGCATGCAACTCCTTTCTTGATGGCGATCCAGACTTTTTAATATCTCATAAGTTGCATGTGGATCCTGTAGTCCTCAGCTGTGATTTAAATGTCTATTTGTATTTCTTTTGCTTCATAGTTCTTGACAAAATAACAGTTCTATGCCAGAATAACAATGCTCATTGGACTCCTTTACCAGCTCTTCCAATGTTTTGGACACTGATCCTGGCATTGAGTTTCTTACTCCCTCTGCATCATATTTCTCACTGCGATAGTTAATTGAGTTTTGCTTTATTGTCTCATCTGTATCCTCTATGGTCAACTCTTTATACAGACTTAGTTGTCACTTCTGTGGGAGGTTTGCAAGGAGTCGAATAGCCACCTTAGTCCTGCAGTTGTGACTAGGTGATGTATGGCAGACTGAAAAATTAACTCACTCATTTCAAGGTTGAATATGACTGTTA